AATCTATCTATAGGAAAAGGAAAATTATTTGAACAGCATATGGATAAAAAATAATGTTATAGTTAACTCTGATAATAGACCTTAATTTAAAGTATCATGTAGTAGACAATAGACTTAGATGTTTACAAAATAATCTATCTATAGGGGTGTAAGCGAAGAGAGCTTTCAACGAACTGTTCGTGAACATGTTTGGTTTTTGTTCATTTATGTTCGTTTACTAATCATAACAAATGATCTTGAACACCAATTGTATGTTCATTTATTAAACGAACTGATCACGAATAATTGTCTATTCGTTTATTTATGTTCACGAACAAGTTCGTTTACGATTCATTTAAAGATCATTCGTTTATTGTCCGTTTGTTTGATAATAATAATAAGTTAATAACAATATTATAAAAAATTTAATGAAAGTTATTGAATGTGTTTTTGATCAAAAATACCTTCAATAATTCTTTCTACAATTTTTTAAGAGGATTATTGAAACGTTTTCGTTAAAAATGCCTTCAATAATCCTTTTAAAAAATTTTTATGAGAGATTATTGAAAGAGTTTTTGGCCAAAAACGCTTTCAATAATCCTTTCTAAAATTTTTTTTATGGACTATTGAAAGTATTTTTGATCAAAAACATTTTTAATAATCTATTTCAAAATTTTTTGTATGGATTATTGAAGTTGTTTTTGTCCATACAAAAAAATTTATTGAGGGAATTATTGAAGGTATTTTTAGATAAAAACGCCTTTAATAATCCCTTTCCAAATTTTTTTTTTATGGATTATTAAAGGTGTTTTTGGATATAAACGCTTTCAGTAATCCCTCTTCAAATTTTTTGTATAGATTATTGAAAGCGTTTTTAGACAAAAATGAATCGAACACATATGAACGTGAACATCCTATTATTTAAACGAACTGAGCTCGAACACAATTAACAAATTTCTATCAAACATGAATTGAGCTCGAACAACTTAAAAAATAAACGAACAAATCACGAACATATGTTCATTCGTTCATGTTCGATTTATTTATAGCCCTATCTATCGATTGAATTTTTTAGGATTATTGAGATAGATAAACTAAATTATTACTCTTTTAAAAAAAAAGTGCAATGTTCACCTGAGGTTTCAGCATTCTATCAGTTTTGTGTGCAAAAGATAAAATAAAAAAATGATAGTTGATTTAGACCTTTTCAGACATTACAACTTGAATTGCATTGGCATTGGCAGATATGGTTGACATGAGTTGGAAGGTTGTAGACGATTCGACAGATATGGTTGACACGATTTGGAAGGTTGTGGATGATTTAGCTTCCTAAGTGTCAAAGAAACTAACTTCCTATATGAGGACATATTTTAGGTATTCTATCCTTATTCTAGAAGTCTGTCTCTCAACAGTCCTTATCCAATAAATTTGTTTTGTAAATATATATGGCACCATAAGGAAGAAAAGTAGATATTAATATCCAATATTTATCAGTCTAATAGAAAACGATTCTCAAAAAAGCTCATCCTCAGTTCATAGCTGGATTTCACCAACAAAAGCAGAAAATCCAACTCCGATTACAATATAAAACAACTTGAGTGTAAATTGCAGAATAGATTTTTTATAGTTGTAAATTCTATTATGTAGTTTGCACTGAGGTTGCTTGAACATCTTATTATTTAAATGAACTGAGCTCGAACACAATTAATAAATTTCTTACTGAACACGAACTGAGCTCGAACAGCTTTAAAAATAAACGAACAAATCACAAACATATGTTTGTTCGTTTATGTTTGATTCATTTACAATCATATCTATCTATTGAATTTTCTAGGATTATTGGGATAGATAAACAGTTTGCACTCAGGCTGCTTTATGTTGTAATCGAAGTTGGACTTTCTGTTTTTGTTGGTGAATTGCAACTATGAACTGAAGATGAGTTTTTTCAAGAATCATTTTCTATTAGACTAATAAATATTAGATATTAATATCTGCTTTCTTTCCTTAGGGTATCATATATTTACAAAAGAAATTTGTTGGATAAGGACTATTGAAAGACGAACTTCTAGAATAAGGACAAAATACCTGAAATATGTCATCAGACAGAAAGTTGGTTTTTGTAACACTTAGGAAGCTGGATCGTCCACAACCTTCCAAGTCGTGTCAATCATATCTACCAATGCCAATGCAATTTAAGTTGCAATGTCTGAGAAGGTCTGGATCAATTATCATTATTCGATTTTATGTTTTGCACTGAAACTTCAAGGGAACATTGCACTTTCTCCTGAAAAGAGTAATAATTTAGTTTATCTATCCCAATAATCATAGAAAATGCAATAGATGGATCATTTTTGTAAACATCTAAGTCTGTTATCTACTACATGATACTTTGAATTAAGGTCTATTATCAGAGTTAACTATAACATTATTTTTCATCTATATGCTGTTTTAATAATTTTTCTTTTCCTTCTTGTAGATACCTGATTGGCTTGCATTTGTTTCAACTTTCTTTTTTTGCCTCGTTGTTTCCTTCATATTATCATGGAAACTTACCTTAGCACCTCTTCTTTTCACGTTGTTGTTCATTATTCTCGAACTTGTATTTGATCATTCAGTAAAATGCGCACAATTAATCAATATTTTTTACTATCAAATAAAAAAATATGTTAAAACATTCTTAATTAAAAAAAAATAAACTTATATTTTATTTACAAGGAAAAATCATCAAATATATTGATAATATAGTTTTTAAATTTCACAAATAAAGTTAGCAGGTGATCTATATCCTTTAGGCTTTAGAATATATTAAAAAAGTTTAGTTGAAAAAAAGTAAGTGTGTTAATTTTTTAACCCACTTAAGGAGATAAAAAAACTCAACAAACAATATATTAAATAATTTTTCTTCTTTGAAATTAATGTTTCTAACAATATTGACTTTAGTTTCATAAAAATATCTTAAGTACTAAATATTTGAAATTAAATATAAAAAAATAAGGATAGACCAAAATTAATTTGGGTATAGTATAGAAGCAATCTATAGAAAATAATATATCTTGTATTATTTGTTTTTCATCTTTTATTGAGGTAATGTTCTTATTTTGTCCTTGTTCAATTTTTTATTTTTCTTAATATTTCATTTTTATTTTACTATTTTATATCTGAAATATCTTGTAAAATTTGATTACTTTGTATATTTTATCTAGTTATAAGTATGCATAATATAAGAGAATATTAAAGCAAATTGATAAATATAAAGGTGGTTTGGAGGCATTTTCTCGCGGCTACGAAAAGCTTGGCTTCACAAGCAGGTTACCATTCTTCCCAATATCTAATTGTCCACATATGCGAAAGTTATCATTGAGATCTTGCAAACCTTAATATTTTACCTTGTACTACATGAGCAATAATTTGGTTCCTCCTACGCATCACAGATAGGCAAAACCAACTTGATAGTCAAAATGATCTCCACTGAAGTTTTCATGGACAATTTATTTCTTTGAGGTCGTTGTTAGCTTGCTCGTTCATGGTCATTGTGAACAAAATGCCCGTATAAAACAGTTTCTTGGTTCCTTCATAATGCAAACAAATTATCTGCAGTCATGGGCATAAAGTTGTTATCCAATAGATAAGTTGTGCCTATTAACAATTTTTAATGGTTGTTTATCTTCCAACAGATGGATGCCCGAAGACTTGCCATGGAAATGGCGCCCGTTATCATGTGGCAGAAGGGTCAGCAACCAGAATCTTGTAGGAAATACTGGAGTCATCCACCTAAAAGTCCTTCAAAGGGTAGCATGGATTTGACCCCTGCTTATAGTCCTAGGGACATGCTCGCAGGTACGACAGTCTTTGCATATATCACTGTATTTCGCATGACATGCCAATAGGACTCTGACTCCATATCATTCAGGGATAGCTAATACCTAATAATTTATTTGCTATTTTTTAATCACAGGATTGGAAAGCCAAGTGAAAAATGTTACTGTGTTGTTTTAGATAGTTAAAAAGAGAGCTTTTCCCCCTTTCTTTCTTGCTTTCTTTTACTTGCATTTCTAGGGCCCCAAAACCTCCTTTGGATTCCAAAATTTCCCCAATACATGTTTGTGTTTTCGGTTACTAATGGTTCCCTCTGTTGCTTTGGCCCTTCTATTTAATTGGATAACGCTGCATCAACTTATGCTGGTTCTGAAGAAATGGTGACTAAAAATGTTTTCATACAACTGGAAGTTTCTCATTTTCCTTCATCTTGTATGTGACTGCAGAAGATGGAGAAAATATGGATGCTTCATCCCACATTCCTTTGGATGATGGCATGCCAGTTGATTTTGGTGCCATTGAGGTTATTCAATGCCTCATAGAACAACACAATCCAATATTCACAGATGCTAATGAGACAGTCTGGAGATGATCGAGATGAACCCCTTTCCTCATGCCACATAAAAGGTTCCCGGCAAAATCAATCATCTCTATGGATGAAATTCAAAGTTTGGTGAAGATGATTGTTGTGCAGTAGTGGATATTTTATCGGCAGCCAAATCTGGTGAAGCACTTGCATGTACATTTTAGTAACACAACTGTATTTGGAAAAGTATTCATTGTGCAACATATTGTCTATTATGGAATGGTGATGAAAATGAAATGATTTATCCAAAAAAAAAATGAAATGTGCGTAAAAGCGACTGCTTTGAATGCAAGGTTTGTTTTTCAGTAAAAACAGAGTAAAAGTTAGTTCTTTGAAGGATGGATGATATAAATAACTATATTCCGAGCGTTCTCTTTTAAGTTTTAACAGTATCAGCGGCAAACTGGCGATAGTGAAAGAGCAAAATAATAATAATAATAAAAAAAAACCGTACTTTATCCTCAAAGGTCGAAAAAACACAATTGACGAAACCCAAACGGGCAACACTCATAAGATTTTTTATTGGTCTGTCACCCGCACGTCGTTAAGGTACCAAGTGACGCTAGCCTTTGCAACCTTCACCTGCAAGTCCACTTATGCTCTTTGGAACATGTGATTAAAACTCATGATCTGAAACAGGATCATCAACTCCTGTCTCAAATGGCACCCGGGAACCTGTCCTTCTCACTTGTCTTCTTTTTTACCTTGTTTTCCTTGGTAATTATTGGAAAAAAGATGTTCTTTTCTTGATTTTTTTTATATGGGTTTGGGACCTTTTGGTTCCTCTTTCTTCAATTAATGATCTTTTTTGTGTTATTTCTCTGGAATCATACATATTATACTGGTTATTAGGTTACAGGACATGAAGGGGGTGGGGATTCAGGGAAGTACCCAATAGTGGTGAGCACATGGCCTTTCCTGGAGGCTGTGAGAGCTGCGTGGGAAGCAGTTGATAAGGGGTTCAATGCTGTTGATGCTGTGGTAGAGGGTTGTTCTGCTTGCGAGGAATTGAGGTGTGATGGTACAGGTTGGTACCATAAACTCTGGATTTTTTCTTTTAATTGTTAGGATATTCCTTCAGGGTAGGGTGAGTTGAGTTTTAGTCTTTCTTCTTCAATATTTAAGACTTTTGAACTCATTGTTTGGTAGAATACCTAGGTTAAGCATGACTTGCACTATTAGTTAACCAAACAAAGACAATTGCTACTTGAAATCAGACTATGAATCCCATTGAGCAGTATCTGATTGTCCCAAAAGTATGATATCTATGCTTCTTTCATGTATTCCTTGAGAAGATTCTTGAAGCTATAGATTGCACCAAAAAGATTAAAACAAAATTGCTCAACATATACTGTGTCCTCTTTAATGGAAGTTTACTAAATGCATGTCAATCTCGAAAAAGAAATAGAATAACTGCATTTTTGTGATTTTGTTTAGCATGTTAATGCCCTGAATGACGTGAATTTGACTGTAACAGTGGGCCCTGGTGGAAGTCCGGATGAGAATGGAGAAACTACAATTGATGCCTTGCTTATGAATGGGGTAGACAACATTGTGCCAACTTTGTCTTAACTGTTATTTTGATCCTTGTTTCTTTGCTCATATTAAGAGAAACAACTAAATCTCTTGTGTTTGGTAAGGATATGCATAGGCCACAATGGAGGTTGGAGCTGTTGCTGCTATGAGGTATGTGAAAGACGGCATCAAAGCTGCAAGATTAGTCATGCAACATACCAAACACACAATGCTTGTTGGTGATAGAGCTTCTGCCTTTGCCATTTCAATGGGTCTTCCTGGACCCACAAACCTAAGTTCATCAGAGTCTATGGAGAAATGGACAAGATGGAAAGAAAATCACTGTCAACCTAATTTTTGGAAAAATGTTGCACCTGTTGATAGTTGTGGCCCTTATCAGCCAAAGGATAACATGGGGCTTAACAAAGGGATTTGTTCTGAAGCCAATTCAATGGGGATTATTGAATCCCGGACATCTCTTGTTGGTCCTCATAACCATGACACCATATCAATGGTTGTTATAGATAAAGTAAGTTGATGTAACTGCTGGTTCATTGCGATCCAGGCGCATATATGCCGAGATTCACATTTGTTTTAAATGAATTTCTTTTTCTTGCATAGATGGGACATGTGGCTGTTGGTACATCAACAAATGGTGCAACCTTTAAGATCCCCGGCAGGTAAAATCTCCCTTGCTACAAGTAATAATGGCAGCTCTTTTTGTAGATTCCATGACCTGATCCCTTCTCTCTAGGTTCAAATGTTGTTGTATTCAGTAGAACTTTATTCAGCATCTGGTAAATTACTCTCATAAACCTTTAGAGGAGATTGAATGATTCCAAACAAACTTCTATTTCTATGTGAACTCACAAATCACAATATTCAAAATTAGTTTAGGTAGCAAGATGACTTGGCTCCATATATTTGTTGCTGGTGAACAAAGACACTATCTAAAGTAGGTATAATGAATTATTCCTGGACTAAAAACATTAAGCAGCAGCAATCATGTCTTTCATTTTTTAGCATCAAAGAGTTCTGGATACCTCTTTGAAAAGAATAAGTCACATAAATTTGTCTATAACACAACATGGATAAGCTTTTCTTCTTAAAATTTTTTTCAATCTACTTTGTTTTTGCTTTTTTATAATTGTTTTTGCCTTTTTATTGGAGGGAGGGGGGAGTACATTAAGTATGTTTTACACATCACCTAACATATTATCTTCCCTGATTGCAGGGTGGGTGATGGACCTATTGCTGGATCTTCTGCGTATGCTGACGATGAAGTTGGTGCTTGTGGTGCAACTGGAGATGGTGACATCATGATGCGCTTCCTTCCATGGTATGTAACAAACTTGAAACTTTGAACTTCCTGCATTTGGATCACGATAATATTTAATCAAATATAGGAAAAAAATGAAGTGGTATTTTCTTCTTTTTCAGATCAGGCTCATTAATTGAAATATTTAAGAACAATGTTCTTAGAGTTAGCAAATCTTTACAAGGACTGCAAATAACTAAGGTGTACTCTTTGATTGGCATTGTTTTGTTGTTATGCTTAGTTAGCATGTTGTTCGTGATGGCAAAACTTTTGCTCACAAAAATCCAGCCGCTCAATCTTGTTTACTCTGTTGTTTCCTTTCTCTATTCACCCTTTGCAACTGTTCTACTTCGACTAGTCTGATGTGCTATGTGCAAACCTTATCTGATGCACAGATATGATATAGTGCTTTTATCTGTTTTCAGTTATCAAGTTGTGGAGAGCATGAGACAAGGAATGGAACCCAAGCTTGCGGCGAAGGATGCAATAGCACGAATTGCAAGAAAATATCCAGATTTTATGGGAGCTGTTTTTGCTATCAGTAAGAATGGTGTGCATGCTGGTGCTTGTCATGGTTGGACATTTCAATACTCGGTCAGAAGCCCAGATACGGACGATGTAAAAGTTTTCATGGTGCTGCCCTGAAATTGCTTCTGCCTCTGAACTAGGAAAAGTGGCATAACATGCGTCTTTTCTCCGATATCACTATAAATGTTCAACAATCTATTGTTTTATATTACCGATGAACATTCGTGCAGAGTATATATCTCCTTACGGTTTGGTGGCTGATGTACACCTCTCAGGTGGTTTCATGCATCTTTTATTAATTAAAGACTGTTCTTCATTCATTATATCTTTGGTAATACGAAGCATTCTCTCTCTCTCTCTCTCTCTCTCTCAGGTGGTTTCTATGGACATTATGTCAAATGAAGCACGGTTCTTGAACAAGCCAAAGATAACGTCATCTAAAGATGTAATCGGGTCGGTATAATAAGTTCAAACTCGATTTAAAATTTAATTTGAATTTAATCGAGTTTTAATTTTATGTTCAAATTCAATTTAAAAAAAATTGAGCTACTTGAGCTAATTCTGTTAGAATCGTTTAATAAAAATAAGTATGATTTTCATATTTAATTTTAAATTTGATTGTGTTTAAACTCATTCGAGTTTGAATTTATATATATATATATATATGTATGTATATATATATATATACATATATATAATGATAAAATAATAATTTTTTAATTGAAATAATAAAAATATATTAAAATTTAAAAGTTTGATTAAACTCATGAGTTACTAGAGTTGATATTAAGATGCTTGAACTCGACTAACTTAATAAGTTGAGCTGTTTAAGCTCGAGTTTAACTCGATAATAATCAAACTGAATTTAAATTTTATTCAAATCGAACTCGAAGAGCTTACAAGTATTAACATATCATTTTTAACCTTACGGGGTATTTGGTTTGCGGAATTGTAGATTCTAGAGAAAAGTGTAATTCCTGAAAAAATGCGATACTTGGGATTTTCTTCTATTTTCAAGGTATTTCATGTTCAAATTTACTCGTTTGATTGGAAAAAATCTATATATATATATAATTCCTGAATAATTACTATAATCTTTTTGACATATATGATGGTAACTTAAATAATTTAATTTTTAATTGAAAATGATTATTTAATGTGCTTTTTACCAGAAAATACATTGAATAATCCTTACAAAAAATTGAATGAGGTTATTTAAGGCATTTATGGTCAAAAAACATCTTGAATAATCCACTTGAAAGAGTTTTTGTCCAAAAATATCTTTAATATTTTTTTTATATTTTTTGGGGATTATTCAAGGCGTTTTTGGTCAAAAAACATTTTGAATAATCCATTACAAAAAATTAAATTGGGTTATTCAAGGTATTTTTGGCAAAAACGCCTTGAATAATCCCCTTTAATTAAAAATTAGAATGGATTATTAAAAGTGTTTTAGACAAAAAAAAAACGTCTTCAATAATATTCTCTAATTTTTTTTTGGATTATTCAAGGTGTTTTTGCTTAAAAAACGCCTTGAATAATCCCTTCTCATTTTATTTTGGAAAATGCCTTAAATGGGGTTAATCAAAGACATTTTTGGCTAAAAACAACTTGAATAATCTTCAAAAAATTTTATGAAGGGATTATTCAAGGTGTTCTAGCCAAAAAATGCCTTCAATAATCCCCTTCAATTTTTATGAAATGATTATTCAATGTGTTTTTGCATAGAAAATGCCATGAATAATCATTTTTAATTTTTATTAGTGGATTATTCAATGTGTTTTTAAGAAGGCATTTTTTATGAAAAACGCCTTGAATAAATGCCTTTCAATTTTTTAGGGATTATTTAAGTCATTTTTTACTAGAAAACACCTTGAATATTCCTTTACCAAAAATTGAATGGGGTTATTCAAAGTGGTTCTAACAAAAAACATTTTCAATAATCTCTTTTAATATTAATGCCTTGAATAATCTTCTCCAATTTTTTTAATATTATTCAAGGTATTTTTTTTTTCAGAAAATACATTGAATTATCCCATCTTTTTTTAAAAAATTATTTAAGGTATTTTTGTCCAAAAAATATCTTAAATGATCCCTAATAAAAAATTTAATAGGATTACTAAATGCATTTTTGGCTATAAAATGCCTTAAAATAATATTTTTTATAATATCAAGAATCATTGAAGGCTTTTTCAAAGTAAAACACATTTAGTGATCATTTTTAAAATTCATTTTCCTTTTTTGAACTTTGGAACCCAAACAGCTAATATAGTAAATGAAAAAAAGCTGCATTGCAACCAACCCCTAAATCATCAACCCATTTAGTTTGGTTTTTGGTTTCTTTATCTCTCTCGTCACCGCTAACCATCAACAACTCAATGCCATTGCACCTTTTTTTTTATCAGTATGTGCATATTTGATCTATTTGTGGTATTATTTATATTCTTTGATATATGATTTTTTTTTCATTCTTTGCTATATATATAACATTTTTTTATTCATTTCATTGTCACCTTAGTTGCCCAACCGTCCTTCATTGCATGTGTGGTGTTTCGTTGTAGTTTGGTTTAAATATTGTGGTTTGCTGATAGGTATTGTGAAAATTATAGGTATTTTGTTACTCATCATTTTGTTTTGCATGGAACTCTTATTAAGGTAAAAATCCTAGTATGACTTGTGCCCATAAAATATTATTGGTTTGAGGATGTTTTATGTATATTGGTTTAGTAACTGTAGTATGATTAGAGAAACAGTTTGATATATTTTGTATAATTATGATCAAAATTATATGTATTATGGATTTTGAAAAACATATGTTTTCTACTACTAAACATGAACAAGACACACCCATAATAATAATAAAAAAGGGATAAAATAAATAAATTTAAGCAACTGACATGAAAATTCACATCAACTTTAATCAAAGTGGGTAACCTGTTTCTGATGGAGTTATTAAGTTGGCTAGTCACATTAGAGTGGTCATTGAAGTGACCGACTGTAGTAGCATTTCTATTATGTACCACAATTGACGATGAGTTTTTGATTATCTAAAGGATTGTATATAGGAGTCGGTTATGGTGTGTTTATTCAACTATTTCATAAAATTTGTTAAATGATCATTTAATTAAAATTTATGTGTTCATACTAATTGTTTTAATACGCAAACCCACTCATCAAATACTTTTTTCTCAATTGTGATACATTTTTCTTAATCATTCCACCCAAATCTATTAAAATTTTTCATATAACAAATTGTATAATATTATCTCTTAAGTAGCTTAACCCTGAATTTGATGTGGGGGGTGGCTTTAAGTTGTGAAGTAGAATGACTTGCTCCAGCATTCATTCAATATAACCTAGATATCCGATGCGAATTGTCCTATTATGGCTATCCATTTAAGACCATCAACCAAAGAATGTAAGTGTTGGACCAAATGTGAATCCTTTTTTCTAGTCAATGAATGGTTACCAAAGCCAAAACTATCCAATCATCTTTTGGATGCGCGTCGAACGGATTGCGATGGATTGTTATTCAATGAAGACATTTCAATTCCTAATCACATGGTTAGATATTTTGAAACAATATCAATATAGTAAATAAAAAATAATCAAAGGAATGAAATAAACGAATACACATGAAAAAAAGCAACGTGTTCTCCAAATTGTAATATTCATTGATCAATATCAACCATATGGTACATAAAATAAAACCATTTAGGCAAACTTATAATAAAATATAAAAACATATCTATAATGTTATGATCCCTCAGATTGTAACCAATGGGTGAACATATCATAAGCCAGATTATCTATAAATTAAGTCCAATAATCAGATAGCTCAACATGCGTATTCAAATATTGATGATCAAATTCATCTGGTTGAAAAATACTTTCTTTGGCAACATCTCTTTCTCCTTCAATAAGATCAAAAACTATCTCAGACCTAATAAAATTATAGAGGCAACAAGCAGAAATGATTCTACACTATGTTTTAATTGAATAAAATGACTTTTCCCTTAAAATTACCCATCTAGCTTTTAATATACCAAAACATCTCTTGATACAATTTCTTGCTTGAGAGTGTTTCATGTTGAAGTATTCATGTGGAGTCATCGGTTGGAGTCTTGCCTTCTAATCATGAAGATGGTATCATTGACCTCTATAAGGTGTCAATAATCATTCCTAATTTGTATATCTGACATCACACAAATAATAATTACCTATTAGAACGATCAACAACATTACTAATATGAAAATAAGCAACATTGTTATTAACATTACATGAACATAATACAAATAATGCCTTGTAAGGTCTTCATCCCATTCCTGTGTGTAATGGCATCCTTTATCACTCTGCCATCTACTGCAGAACCTTTCTATCTTGGTAAAACATATATTAATTGTATATATGAGGTACAAACACTAAGGACATTGGAAACAATTTCAATTTTTCTTATCCTGTATTTAAGTAAGTCAACTGCGTCAACATTGACTTTAATGTATATCTCATTTAAAGCACACAAATAGCTCCTGAATCATTTTTATCTATTATTTGTTGAATTTTTTGGTATGAATTCGGGTTTTTTAAACAACAGCGTATGTAATTTTAATACAAAATTCAACACAAAATGGAATTATCTACTAATTGTCTCTTCAAATCTGGTCACTTGACGCTTTATAATCTTATTTTTTATATGATGGATAATAATGTGGAGAAAGCTAATTACTAGTTCTTCTATTGACATATGTCTAAATGATTGTAACCTTCTTTCTATTTTAAGCAAATGACATAATTTTACAAAAGCTCTCCTGTTTATTATAATATGATCTACACACTACATATCATTCTCAAAGATTATTGCATTTAAATTTAACTTTCTAATATGTAGGTTATCATAAGATGTTCTACCATAATATAGTCTATTTTATTTTTTTACGTTAATATTTAATAAAGTTATAGCAACAAAATATAACAAATGCAACAAAGTCTCTATTCGGTTCAATTGCATCAAAAGCAATGTAACCAATTGTATCTTTCTTAATGAAAAACCAGCCATAATTGTTTAAATGAAATAATTTCGTTAAAGTTAAAAACATAATGGTGAGTGAATTTTGGTATATGGTGGATGGAATCTCCCCATATAATCAAATAAAAAATAAATCACAAACAAAACATTGGAAGATTGGAAGGAGCTAAAATAATTTAACCACAAAACATATAATATATATCATAAATGCTTTTAATCCAGAGCCAAATGACATCTAAAAAATTAAAAATAAGTTTATTGGAAAGCAACATGGATTACATACTATCAATCATAAAGTATACACACCGTTTTGTGTAAAAATCGATGATAAACTTAATAGAACGAAGATAAAATGACGGATAAGGAAGCTAAAATTTTTTCAAAGAGAAAAGTAAATGCTATGAGCTAAGATCTATTGAAATATAAATTTCAATTGTATTTGTAATTGAAACATGAAGAAGAAATATTTGATAGTTATATTCTTTTTCTGATTTATGATTAGACATTAGAACGTTCATATTGTCAGAACACGTTTATCGAGAGAGAAAATAAATTTTAATATAGGAATATTGAAGGCGGTTGTAGGAAGAAACCTCTTAATTGATAACCAATGAAGGCGTTTTTCCATACAAATGCCTAAATAATTTATTTATAGGCATATTTGAAGAAAGATCATGTCATAACATTTTGATTTATGAACATAAAAAAGAATAGTTTTTAAATAATGATCATTTAAGGTGTTTCTGATCAGAAACGTCTTGAACAACCTCATTTAATTTTTTATAAGGGATTATTCAAGGTATTTTTTGAGAAAAAAATTGAATAAACCCCAATACAAAATTGAAAGAGATTATTGAATGCATTTTTGACAAAAAAAAACCTTAAATAATCATCTCATAAAAATTGAAAGGGATTATTGAAAGTGTTTTTGGCTAGAAACGTCTTCAATAACCTTAATAAATTTTTTGTAAAGGATTATTCAAAGCATTTTAAGGGTAAAACTGCCTTTAATAATCATCTCATAAAAATTGAAATGGATTATTGAAAACGTTTTTAGCAAAAAACTCTTTGAATAATCCTATAAAAAAAAAATTAATGGAGGTTATTCAATGTATTTTTGGTAAAAAATGCCTTTAATAATCTACTTATAAAAATTTTTGAAAATTATTCAAGGCATTTTGAGCCAAAAACTTCTTGAATAACTTTATTTAATTTTTTTGTAAAAGATTATTAAAGGTATTTTTCATGCCAAACACTATATATAAACTAAATTTTTTTATCAGCAAAACCTACAATTGACTTTGTCATAACATTTAGATCGGTAGACCATCGCTAGACATTAACTTGAGGAATCACCATCAATCTTTTTATTTAGGTATGATTGACCACCTAACTGAATCTATCCATTTTTAAAGAGAAATCTTAAGCTTGACTTAAGTATCTTTAAAAGGTAAATTCAATGTCTGTGAAAACCAGAACCAAGTCCGAGAGTACGGTTACGTGTGAGGAAAGTTATAACACCCTTACAACGCCTATCGAAAGATGGTATCAGTTCAATTTCGTGTTATTCATTAAGCCTTAGAGACTTTACCAAGTAATTAATTATTGAAAATTATTCTTAATTGACTCCAATACTTTTGACAAAAGATTAAGAAAATCTTTTCACCTCAAGAGTATGCAAGAAAATTATTGTTTCCCTTTCAGAAGCTCCGTTGTTTAATTATTTAACAAAAAAAAAAATTTTCAAGAAAGAAAAGAGGAAAAAACACAAAAAAAATAATGCTTCAACATTTGATAGGGATCTCTTTCATTATTTTATTTTATTTTATTTAAAATTTACGCCTTTATATAAGAAAAATTGACACTTTCAACTTTTTCCTCAAAAATATATTTTTCTTAAATTTTTTATTTTCAAGAAAAATTGATACTTTTAATTTTTCCTAAAAAGAATGCTTTTTTCAAAATTTTATTTTCAAATAAAATTGATACTTTCAACATTTCCTCAACAATACTTTTTTTGAAAATTTTATTTTGAAGAAAAATTGTTACTCCAAACTTTTCCTAAAAAATATTTTTTTGACAATTTTATTTTCAAGAAAAATTAATACTTTCAACTTTTCTTAAAAAATATTTTTTTGATAAATTTATTTTTAAAGAAAATTAATACTTTTAATTTTTTTTCAAAAATACTTTTTTAAAAATTTTATTTTTAAGAAAAATTGATACTTTTAAGTTTTCCTAAAAAATGTTTTTTGATAATTTTATCTTCGAAAAAAATTGATATTTTCAACCATTTTTTAAAAATATTTTTAAAAATTTTTATTTTTTAAAAAATTGATACTTTTAATTTTTCTCAAAAATATTTTTTTAAATTTTTTATTTTTAAAAAAATTATACTTTCAACTTTTTTTAAAATATATTTTTTAAAAGTTTATTTTTTAAGATTATTATTCTTTTTAAAAAAATCATAACAAAACATTTAAATAAAAAAGCAAAATAACATTAAAAAAAAATACCGAAAATCCTGGCTTAGTTTAGCAGGGAACGGCCCGGTTTCTTTGTATTGAAACAATCTGGTGGCCTGGCTTGAAGTCTAGAGCAGATCGTAACTAGGTCAGATCGCCTGTGAAGCAGCAAACGAATCCTTTTAAAAGGACTCGGTTTCTTCATTCCCCAAAGTGTTGTGTTTTAGTTTAACCATAAAAGCCAAAATTTGCATTTCTCTTACTCTTTTTTAGACTTTCACTCTCTCTCTAGCTCCGTGCTCTCTTCCTTCTCCCCACAAAGAACATCCCTTTTTCTAGATTTTGGTTAATCCCATTTGTACAGCCATCGTCTGACTTTTGTCGGTTGTCACCCGCCGGCACTGATTGTTCCAAAAAGGTCTCTACGAGTTTGTCTCGATTTCCTTAACTCAGACACAAACCCTAAATTCTCGAAACCATTTTCAAATGCCCTGAACCTGGAGCTACAAGCTGCGACTTTCACTGTTTCAGCCAATTTCACTGTCCGATCAGAACGATTTTAGGATATGCTATTCATCATCATTTGCTCTCCTTTTTCACTTTTTCGATTTCCAAACAACACCTTCTGTTGCGGACCGTCGCTGGCGATGCCACCACTGTAGACTTTTGTAACTTTGTTTTTTATTCTTTGAGTGGTGGATTATTTTTTGAATGCGGTTTTGTGGTTGTGTTTGGGTTTACTAGCTTCCGGTCTGAAGGTTAGATGAAGCTTGCTGAAATTCTCTGTTTTTGTTTTTGCGTCCGTTTGGACCTGAATGCTACTTGATTATTAAGTGTGTCTTGTCAAGCATTCCTATCTTGTCTGGATTCTCTTGACGTTGGCTAGATTATTGCCCTCTAGAAACTACCTACCTTAAGTTTTTTGGGTTTGCTGGTGATCTCATGTGGAGGTTTTTGTTTTTGGACAAAATTAAGTGTTTGGAACCCTGAGGCTAAAATTAGACTAGTTTTAGGTGCTGCCTGGTATTGGCGCTGATGGGAAGTTGATGATGATGGAGCTGTGGTGGTAAAAGAGAGGTTCAAATTTGGAGAACCTGGCAGTCTTGCTTGATGGTTGAGCTTGCTTGATTTTTCGGTGTCAGTGCGCCCTTTTTGCAGTGTAATTATCCTTGCTTAAATAAGGACTCAGCTCCCATAAGATATGAGATCAAAATATTATCCGATTTAATCTTGAATGAGATTTTCATCCTTTATCCTTTTAATTTCAATTTTAAACTCAATCAGTTTATCTTCCAATTTTAATTCAAATTTAATGATCTATTTCATAAATTACAAAATAATAGACGGGCTTATTTTGAAAAATCCAAAGTCAATTCAAAACTCAAATCTAAAATCAAATAGGCTAAACTTAATACATAACTTGAGAAGTAAATCGAGATGAAAATAAGATGTTTATAGATTTGTATTTATTTTTAAATATATTTTTTAAAATGATAATAATTATTTTATAATTTTTTTAATAAATTAAATTTAAAAATAATTTTTTTTTCTTGAAATCTTAAAATATTACAAAAAAAATTTTATTTCAAAACTTTAAATACTGTTTAAAATATATCAAATTTCTTCCTAATTAAATTATTTTAAATTAAATATTAAAATCAAATATCTAATAATAAAACTTTGAAAATAAAACGTAGATTCTCTTGAACTGCACGCCCATTATCCTCAACTTAACTTTTTTTTTCTTTTGTTTGTTTGAGAAGGAATGTCGTTGTCAAGTCATATCGGGGAAACAAGAAATTTTCAAACACTGAACCAACCAAAGAGTTTCCAATAACTGGTCACATCACGCTCAACCGCATTAGCAATGGCTGGTCCAATGACCCGAGACTATAGGAAAAGAAGACTTGGAATGGTATGGTTTCCTCTTGAATTATAATTAGACATGGTCTCAAAACCAAAAGTCAAGTCTTTGGTATTTCCGCTGCCACCATTCAAGGCAAGAAATGCAACTCCATTCACCATCTTATCTATTAAACGTGTAATCTTTCCCTCTTACACAACCAAAGGCTCTAGTTCTTGCAATGTCTACACCAGCACAGTAACCTTTCTTCCTCTGTCTAGATTACTTTTTTTTCCCTTCATGTTTAGCTATTTTTTTGGTTGAATGTTATATTAAGCATTCTTGAACTTTGATCAGTTTTTTTAATCTGGGTCTAATTGTTTATCAGCTTCAAATTTGATCAGATATTACCAATCCTTGCCGCCTGTGAGCAAGTTCTATGGAGTGGCCTGCTTGATGGCCACATCCGCCTTGTATCTTGGTCTTTATGATCCCTGGAACATAGCACTCTCTTACCAAGATGTATTTAAACGTTTCCAGGTGAACTTGTTATCTTTTTTTTCTTTAATGCAACTTACAACTAGGAGAGCTCAGTATGTGGATGATCATTGATGTTCTTCTGCTGCAGGTTTGGAGGCTCATTACCAACTTCTTCTTCCTTGGGCCATTTTCACCCATTTTCGCCTTCCGTCTTATAATGATGTAAGAAGCTGACTCTTTCGAATCTTTGGTTTCAAGAATTCAAGTTTTTTACTAATTCTTTTCCTTTCATTTTTGTCATTTGGGAAGCATGGGAGAGATATATTTGCAATCATCTTGATGTAAACCATACGCTATCGTGTTTAGTTAGAGAAACAAAATAGTATACTTTTGAAAGATAAGGTTAAGTTTTCTTAACATTTCTAGTTTAATTTCACAGAGCAAGATATGGTGTCTTACTAGAGAGAGGGCCCTTTGACAAAAGAACAGCAGACTATGTCTGGATGTTGATCTTTGGAGCACTGTCACTTTTGGTGAGTACTAAAAAGAAATAGTTAAATGGATCATCATACCAGTGTATAATCATAGCCAGTTTGTGCTATATATTTTTTTCTATTCTGTTTACAAAAGCTTATTTTGCTAATATTGTCATCAATAAACCCACATAAAATGAAAATAATGCCATACTACTGATTGATTGTCAGGTAATGGCTGCTATTCCATTTCTATGGGCACCTTTCATGGCAGGTTCGTTGGTTTTTATGATTGTCTATGTATGGAGCCGTGAGTTCCCAAATGCTCAAATCAGCATCTATGGTGTAGTGACATTGAAGGTATGTTGATTTTTTTTCCCTATAGTTTTAGTTACACTAGGAGTTTTGATTATGCCAATGCTGGTGTTTAGAAAATCTCATATCATCAGGGTCTATTGTCTCCGTATTATTGCTGTCCTGGACTTTCCACCTATTGTCAGGTTTTTTTTGGAGGCCTCTTCTCTCAGCTTAGCGTGAAAGATGCATGCTTTTGTTTATGCTGCAACGTCTGCATCTAGTTCTGGTGTTATGTCAAGCATGTATCTTGTAGAAACGCTCATTACCAAGTAAATGAATCAGATTGTGATTGTTGGATCTTTGTTAATGCAGGGATTTTATCTACCTTGGGCATTGCTAGCTTTGGATTTGATATTCGGAGCTTCATTAATGGAAGATATTATTGGGATGGTTGCAGGGCATCTCTATTATTTTTTAACAGTACTTCATCCTCTTGCTGGTGGGAAGTACCTTTTCAAGACTCCTCTTTGGGTGTATCCTTTTCTGTTATTTGTTTTTCAGCTTTATTATACATGCATCATCATCATTCTAAATCAAGAAACTCACACTTATTGGAACTTAAATCTGAGACAAGGTCTGATTCGCGATTGGCTAATTGTTTGAAACATATTCGAATATGTCACTTGAAACATGAATTGTAGTCCTTAATTAGCATTTTCCAGTCACAAACTAGTGGCATTTTGGGGGAAGGGAATCCAAGTAGATTCTCCAGTGCAACGTGATCCATCTGCTGGAGTTGCATTCCGAGGTCAAAGCTACCGACTAAACGGTAATCGAGCGCAAGCAAGCAGGCCATCAGAGCAGGAGCAGAAGAAACAAGCAAACAGTTCAGGAAGCCAGCCTAATTCAGGCGATGGTGTAGCCTTTCGGGGAAAAAGTCACCGTCTTAATGGTCATTAACGAGTCCCTCTTGTACTTTGATCTGTGGACTATATCTTATACAAGGTTTTGTGATATGAATTACCATGCATTTGCAGCCTTAACTATCATAAATGTAAAAGAACTATATCTTATACAAGGTTTTATGATATGAATTACCATGCATTTGCAGCCTTAACTATCATAAATGTAAAAGAATGCAATCCTATAATTTTTTACCTTTATAATTCTGCATTTCTTCATCTCTATCCTTTGGTTTCTTCTTCCTTGTGGTCATCTGGAAACTCGCAGATATTACACTCTTCAGAATTACTGTTGAATATGGCTGAACTCTGACCTTTCAGAATAACTAGTGAGAAATCAAATGAGTAATTCGACCCTAAATTTTGCTTTTTCTACTATAAAGAGGGTGTAAACTTTTCTCACCTTCACCAGGGTTTATATATTACAAATTAATCTAAATAACGCGGCAAATTGCATCTTTGGTGGGTCAAAGGTAACTTATCTTTCCAGAACAATCAACGCACCTCATGGGTTGGGCTGTATTCTCCAGGGAGAAGTATTAGGATTTTTCAAACAGAAACGTATTTCTCTTGAAACCATCACGAAATAAATCATATCCACAAGACATACTATTTTTATGTGATTTAATCCATAAGATAAAAGAATTTATTATACATGTAAAGATTATAAAGAATATAAAACATTAAAAACAAACATTATTAATTTCGAATCTCTTAAAACTTTCTTGTTTCTTAATATTAAACATACGAAATATTTAATTCGATGTTTTTCTTAATTTTATTTTCACGTCCTTACAAATCTATTTCCTCTCTCACATAAAGCTCATATAATAATTATAACTTTTTTTATAATTCTTAAGATTAAAACTCACTTTATATTTATAGAATTCCATTACTTTATTATTAAAAATTTTTATTTACAAAAAATTACTAATTAAAAATATTTATCTTTATATAAACTTAATTATTAAATAATTTTTTAATTAATAAAATTTCACTAAAATTTAAACTGATTTTCCTTAAAATTTCAGTCAATTATCTAAAAAAAAAAAAATGCAATTGACTTGTAGCTGACGACCTGTTGCCTTGTCTCACCTTCCACCAAAGTTCCTCATTATTTGGTACGAATGCACAGAATTGAAAGTACGATAATAAAAGGAAGGGACAGAGAGTACATTTTTAATAACAAAAAATATGCAATGGCGCTAATGATAGTCAGGGTTCTTAGCCTGGAAAAAGTAATTACAATGCTACAGAAAACAATAGTTTCCCTGAAGCCACGGCAATTTTTTAAAGAAAGTCTACAATATTAACAAGGTTTTGTTTTCCGGGATAACCTGTTCATAAATCTTGTGTCTGATCACATGTTTGATATTTCATAATATCCTCCTCAAGCATCAACATCTTTGAGTCGGAGACCATTCTCCATGCCCATGTGTCTCACATTTTGGTCAATACTTATGTACCATAAACAGAGGTCACCTTCTAAGTCAAGCATCCATACCTAACGTTACTGTATTTAGTCCAGATTACTTCTCTAGGCTAATCAACTGGTAAGTGTCAATGGATAGTAGCAATCAACTGTCACATGTTACTTTTTTTTGGATTTTATTTACCTTTTCATCTCGTAAAAGTTAAGAAGAATCTCTCTTTGATTAAAAGTAGATCAAATAATTTTAAATATGATATAATAATATGATATAAAATAATATGAATAAAAAATATAAAAAAATAAAATTTAAAATATTAGTATAAATTATAAATAAATTTAATAAAATTAATAAAATTATTTTTTATATTTTTATGTCGATATAAATTATAATATATAATTTTCATGTATAATATAATATGAATATATAAAATTTTAATATGTGAATTGTTAGGTCTAATTAAAAGATTAGAATCACAAATTTTTTTTTAAAATGTTGGTTAATTTGTACTAATTAGATTTTTTTTTCGGTCCTTGTACTAATTGAATATTTTTATAATAGTAGGTTTGACTAGCAAATAGGATAACAAACAAATGCAATTTGTAGATTCATTTGGCATCTCACACCTTAATTTGCCCGATTATTTAAAAAAATTCAATGTTATTTGTTTGAATTTAAAAATAAAAAAAAATCATGTCATAATCATGGCCATTTTTTAATTAATTTCTTTCAATTTTTTGCACAATGGAGATCGTACATTTATTTTAATTTTCATTTTATTTTATCTTAATCTCACCTAAACCTATTACTTATAAGATTTATATTCCTGAAAAGAAGATTACATTTCAAAGTCAGATAATCTTTAAATATAATTAAAATAGCAAATTAAAAGATTAAAAAAAGATTATAAATGTTGAATCAAATCTAATCTTATTAAAATTTATCTCTTAAAAAAATAAATAAATCAATAAAATTAAATCTCGATTCTTTAAATCTTTTTGAAAGTCAATGTAAACGAAATTTAATCCTCGATGCTTAACATAATCCCCAATTTTGTTTCAAGAAAACAATTGGCAGTGCATCAAGACGGATGGTGGACCAAAGCTTCCTTTTCTTTTTCTATAAATAAAAAAGTTTAAATTTGGGTAAGTTTGTGAGTACCCAAAAATTAAATGCAATTAAAACAATGTCACCATCACAAAAGCCTTCTTCGCTTGTTCTTCCTTTGAAAATGATTTTGTACTGAATTTTTTATCTTTTAAAAAACGCGTTTGATGGGATTTATTGCCTTTTGTCCTTCGGTTGGAATCATTAGATTCGCATATCTTCTCCTGCATGACGAAGCTTTGAACTCACTGTTTAAGGAAACGGCTAGTGAGAAATTCATGTGAACTTATATCGACCATTTCACACTTGAAAATGACTTCGAAAAGTGGAGTTCCAAGAAAGTTCCGTTTCTTTTTACTCCTTTGTTTCCATCTAAAGAGTACAAGGGGCATTTAATTCGGGAATATAAGATTTTTGGTTGAAATTTTATTTTTATAATATAATTTTTTTTTAGTTTAGTTTATGATATATGATATTTTAAAATTTTTTTAAAAGATTTTTTAATAATATAAAAAACAAAAGAAAAGTGAGGGATAAAACTTCTCGTCCAACACTATATTTTTAAGATAAAAATATAATGAATCTTAAAATTATATTTTTAAAATTTTAATAAAAATTATATTTTAAAAATACAAACGAGTATGACATGTTAAAATTTTATTCTCAAAATTTAAAATTTTAATAAAAATTATATTTTTTAAAATAAAAAACATAATATTTATTGTTATTCATAATAAAATTAAAATAAAATATAAAATATCTTTAATTAATATTATTTTATATAAAATATAAAATATATTTATTTAATATTATAAAATTATTTTTATTGAAAATATAAAATAATATTTTTAAAATATTTTTAATTTTAATAAAAATAACATATTATTCACTTATTAATATTAAAAATGTCCAACATTATTCACTTGTAATAATATAATAAAAAATTTTATTAAAAAATTTTATATATTTTTAAATTAAATACAAAAATTATATTTCTTAAATCAACAAAATTTTAAAATCATATTTTTTTAATATTATTTTTTAAAAAATTACGTAACCTCTTAAAATCTAAAACTTTGTGAAACAAACATCCGGAGAAATTTCCTTCCATCAACCCTTTTATCGTAGTTGGAAAATTTAATTACCAAAAAACACGTGAGCTTCAGTTGCAATAGTAGGAAATTTCCACCATGGTTAGTTGGAAAATTTAATGATTAATGCCCAAAAAACATGTCAGCTTCAGTTACAACTCCAAACTCTTTGACTCTACATGTGTCCTAAAACAAGTGGATCCTTTCCTTTTAGAGGATTTTCTAGGAGGAAAAAACTGATATATTTGCAATTTATTTAGTCAGAAACAACATATAATTGGCGCCGCTGTAACAACAAACAAGAACAAGAAACAGTCTCTTTGAATAGTGTACAGAAGATCCCCCAGACAAACCGATGCTTTTAACAATAGATAATCAAAACCCAACCCAAGTTGCAGTATGGAAAGCAAATTAAAAATTACAGAAATTGTTGTTATCATAGAATGGTAAACGCTGCACGGGATAATTGCCTTTGATTTTTGAAATCTTAACGTAGTAATAGCAAACAAAAAAACGTGTTTCGTGGGGACACTCTTCTTTGCGTCATCTTCATCTATTACGGTTAAATTAAGACCAATCACCAAAGTTACGTTGATGTAATATAGTTTGGTATAGAGATGGGAACCTAAGTTGTTTCATTGCCTTGGTTTGACTCCCAACCGAGAAGAAAAAATGGTGGGTTTCGAACTAGAAGGAGCTTGAAAGTTTCAGAGGAAACCGGTACTTTTTTGTTACTCTCTTTTCTTTTCGAGGTTTTCTTTGGATTCCTTTTACGGGGTTTTACCAGATATATGTTTTCTGAACTTTGGCTTGAGTTTGTCATGTATGTTTGATTTTGTATCATTCTTTTGACTGTTTCATACTTGGGTTCTTTTAAGCTTAAGCACCTTTGGTTTCAAAGTTTATGTTTCAGGTTGGGAATTGTTTGTCCTGGAATCCCGAAATTGGTTTCCAATGGAAAACAGAGTGTTGGTCATAACTCATAATGTTCTACATTTATTTCTATCATATCTTTTTGATTGCCTCAATGATTTTTCTTTTTTTTGGTCTTCTACATTTATTTCCATAGAATTGTTTCTTTAAACTGCCTTTGATTCATTGTATATTTAATCTCTACCGATTGCTGGCTAGCCATGTATCACAAAATCTGATGTATCATAAAATCATGTAAAACGTTTACATGATTTTCTTTTTTTTTTTTCTAAGACATGGCATTAAATTTTAAGCAGAAGGGAGGGTGGGTTGGGGGGAGCTCCATGAATACCAAATAGGATGCATTTTTTTTATGAGGCTTTTGAGTATCAGCGTTAGTATCAATAATTTATTCCACAAAAGAATCCTAAATTTGCAGGTCCTTTCCTTATATTCCAGTGAGGTGCCATCCATTCATAAAGACTCTAATATGTTTTTTTTTTTTTTGGCTGTAAAGCTGTAGAGAATAGGTGTTACAAGAAAGTGGGAGAATAATGGAGAAGAAAGAAATAGAAGAAGTAGGAGGTGAACTGGTATTGCTACCTCCTCCTCCAACTTTAACTATTGGAATAGCTATCAATGGAAATAGAAAAAGCAAGTATGTGGTCAAATGGGCGTTGGATAAATTCATTCCAGAGGAAAACGTCGTCTTTAAGTTGTTACATGTGCGTGCAAAGATCACTGCTGTTCCTACACCAAGTAAGTCAATTTTCTTAGAGATTATTATTTCTGTTCAGGGATGATAGTTTACTTGATTTTGAGTTTCTGGTTGGCTACCTGATGTTTTCGATTTGCCAATATGTTGGCAAACATATGGAAAAATGTCTTTTACAAAGTAGACTAAGATACAAGGGTTTATTTCGGGGTAAGCAATTTTCGAATTGCCAACAAAATACCAAGAATTTATGTTAATTGACTAAAATCATGTCAATTCTAGTGGGAAACTCTATTCCGATTTCAAAAGTACGAGATGATGTAGGTGCTGCTTATAAGAAGGAAGTGGAGTGGCAGACAAATGAAATGCTTCTTCCTTATAAGAAGATGTGTGCTCAAAGAAAGGTACTTTCTTTTTCTTACTGAATCTTATGGTGCATGTATCCTGAAAAAGTGAACTAAATTTGCTAAAATTCTGAATTTAGGTGGAAGTTGATGTTATAGTGATTGAATCAGATGAAGTGGCAAATGCAATAGCAGAGGAGGTTGCCAAGAGCTCTATTACTAAGCTTGTTATAGGAGCTTCATCTCATGGGATGTTTACAAGGTATTTACACAACATAGTGGAAAAAAGCAATTGTAATGCTGACCATGACTGATCTAGTAGCCTGACAGATGGTTCTTGTATAAAATCATGGTTGTTGTCAACTAAACGGGTAACGAGAGACTAAACCTTGTAGGATACAAGGGAGTATTTGAAAATCCTATGAATCAGTTTTACATGATCTACTAGTTCATAACAAAAACTGGTTAGATACATTGATTTTCATATTTTTAGAAACAATGTTATTTCAACTTTTTCATTTCTTCATTATTGAGCAAGCAAATCAGATATTTCCTGTTTGTCTTAGGGAAAGGAGAATGAAAATCGAAGAGCTGGTCTTGCATATCTGTTTAATTATGTGCTCTCTATTTGCAGTTTTGCACAAGCTCCATCAATTAATCTTGTTAACGTGATGTTATTTGTAGGAAGCTTAAGAAAAATAATTTGTCCTCAAGAATCTCAGTTTGTACTCCAAGCTTTTGTACGGTCTATGCTGTTTCAAAAGGAAAGTTGGCATCTATTCGACCATCTGATTTGGAGACAAATGGAAGCACTAAAGATGACAGTAGCGAAACAAGTGTTTCTTCCAAGAGCGCATCAAGTTATACTTTCAGTTCACAGACAGGTACTTTACTTCACTCAAAGATTGACTCACAAATGCTCATTGGCAAATGATGGAACAATAAGCATGCTAATCCTTCTTTATGCAAAACAAGGACTGTTTTCTTTGTTGGGTTGTTGTAGAAGATGAAAAATTGATGACTAAGAATCCGAACCATCATTTCCCTGGTAATTTGAAGCATAATGTCACGCTACTATGCAGGGTTAAACCCCTGTAAACCAATAAAAACAGTTCTGCAGTCCATTTATACTTTGTGTAAGATAACCTCATATATTATTCCTGTCCTGTTCTTTCCACTATGGTTTGCCTTTTGCAAATGTTGCTTATGATTCTATTATAAAATTTAAAATACAGTCCTGTATTAGCATAAATTTAAAATCTGCATAATAAAGAACTTTGATATAAAATGTTGAATACCTTTTTTTAGAACTCTCTCATTTATCCCTTGCCCCACCCTCTGGCAGCCTTCTCTCTTTGTGTAACAGAAAGCTTCAGCAACTGATATTGACCCTCTATAGGACTTTTTGTGAAAAATAATACAGACGAAAGTTTGAAAAAACAAAATATTTAGCTCCTTTTTATCTTAATAAAATGCTAATTCCTAGTTTCCAGGCAGATATAATTATCCACTACTTTGTGAGTTGGTTCAGTCATAAAAACTCCTAACCAACCTCCATTTCTTTTTTTATTTTGTGTAATTGTAGAATTTGGTTCAGTGGCATCCTATGCTACTTTCTGTTCTCCTTCCCTACCAATGCAGCGATTTCAAGCACTTTCAACTATAAATCAGACATTTTTACATTCAAGAACAAGTTCCGTTGAGATTAACCAGTCTAGATCGCTTGAGTCCAGCCGGTCTTGGTCTCCTGATGTCAACCATTCTAGAAGCCATTCTCTTGACATTGTGGCAGGAAAGGATGATGTGAGCTCTCTTCCTAGCTGTTCAGAAACTAGGCAAGCAGTCAGTCCGAATTCTAGTTGCAGAAGCTTGCAAACAGATCAACAATCATGGTTATCAGATCAAATTTCTACCTCAGATGTGCTGACAGACTATTATTCTTCGTCTGAATGTCAGGTAGGTTTTTCCTATATTGTTCAGAAATCAATGCAGTGATACATACGAGTGATACATCCAATGAGATCAATATTGGCATAGCTTAGATTGATATCTTGATTGTGCATTTTCTTCCTTCTGGTAATTGATTTTGTATTAAAAATAGTTTCAACATTTGTGAAATTATGCAACCTGATAGCCTTAAGGATAAGGTATTTCATTATTTTGTGTGATTATTTGCTCAGTTAATAAATATGCATAGCTGAACTCACAAATTTGCACAGTGCTTAAATGATTTCTGCTTAAGGTTGTCTTAATCTTTTAGAATAGGATATAGTAACTCATTCGTTCAGCAACTTGTCATGACCAATATCAGATTTGTAGAAATGCATTTATAATTGATCTTTAAGCAGCAACTTAGCTTCAAGCAGGCTTCAGCAAGGGCAAATGTGATTTTACTAAAAAAAGCCTAGTGCCTTTTGCTTTATTTTTGGAGGACACTTTCACTATTAATGGAGTTTAAGTTTGGGTTTTCAATCATGTTTACAGGTAAATATTAACTTTGAGCTAGAAAAACTCAGAACCGAACTCAGACACATTCAAGGAATGTATGCAATAGCTCAAAGTGAGACAATTGATGCATCTCGGAAGGTTAGTTGCTAATGTCAACTTTGCCTTCTTCCTGAAACTGTTTATGGAGTAAATTAATCTTTTATTCCAATTATATTCTTTCCTTCTTCTTTCATGGTTGAAGTTTCAATTCATCCAAGACTTCAAACAACATCATATCTTTGCTGCTGTTTAGCATCATGGTCCTTCTCACCAAAGTTTTCATATTTCCTGATGTTTTATTTCCAAGAATTTTTCTGAATATTTTTCAAATCTGGTGGTTGCTAAGCTTCTTTACTTTATAAGTTGTTCTGACCATCTTCTTTTATAATCTGAATTCCTAAACTTTATGGCAGTAAAAATATTACCAAGTTATAATGAATTAATTAACTGATAGATGGTCAGTATATTCTATCTAGTTTGGATTTAATTAACTGATAGATGGTCAGTATATTCTATCTAGGTTGGATGAATTTCACATTATGGTTCAATACTATTGTTAAGAACCAAGTCAAATAAGGGTATTCGGGTTTCAATCCTTTCTCTGTCAACGCTAATGGGCTCCATCACTGTGTTTTCTCAGTTGAATATTCTAAGCAAACGTCGGCTGGAGGAAGCAATGAAGCTTAAGGAGATAAGTTTGAAGGAGGAGAAAGCCAAAGAATTAGCTAGAGAAGAGAGGCAGAAGTATAAAGCTGCAAGAAGAGAAGTTGGGCAAGTGAAGGAATGTGCTGACAGAGAAGCTTCGCAGAGGCGAGAAGCAGAGATGAAAGCCTTTCACGATGCTAAAGAAAAAGAAAAGCTTGAGAATGCTCTCACAGGTTATGTCCAACGATACCAAAAGTTCACATGGGAAGAGATTGTTTCAGCTACATCCTCATTCTCAGAAGATCTTAGAATTGGAATGGGAGCATATGGAACTGTCTATAAATGTATGTTTCATCATACAGCTGCAGCAGTGAAAGTTCTCCACACAAAAGAGAATGGTAGAAGTAAGCAATTCCAGCAGGAGGTATGAAATTTCTTGGATAAAACCAAACCATAATAGCTCATAGATAATTAAAGAAAATCGATGTGGAATTTCATATTCCTTATGTGGATTGGCTCTTTCAAATATAATAATCAAGTGAAAAGTGTGTTTGCAACTTATTATGATTTTCTGTGAATATTGCATGCAACCTTAAATACGCCTCTGGTGTAATGATATTGTTTTAGGACAATATGTGATCCTGAGTCAGATCTCACCCCAAAAAAAAATTGCAACTGAACACTTGTCTTTATTTTCTGTTTCAGCTTGAAATCTTGAGCAAAATTCGTCATCCACATTTGCTTCTCCTTCTTGGTGCATGTCCTGAACATGGTTGCCTAGTTTATGAGTACATGGAGAATGGTAGCTTGGAGGATAGATTGCTCCGGAAGAACAATACCCCACCCATCCCATGGTTTGAGAGATACAGAATTGCTTGGGAAGTAGCCTCAGCTCTTGTTTTCCTCCACAATTCAAAACCGGAACCAATCATTCATCGTGACCTGAAGCCAGCAAACATATTGCTTGATCATAACTTTGTGAGCAAAATTGGTGATGTTGGACTTTCCATGATGCTTAGCGCAGCTCCTTCCTCTACATCCACCATGTACAAGGATACAGGACCTGTTGGAACACTCTGCTATATAGATCCTGAGTATCAAAGAACTGGGCTAATATCTCCAAAATCCGACGTTTATGCTTTTGGGATGGTAATATTGCAGTTGCTAACTGCAAAGCCAGCAATGGCACTAACTCATGTGGTGGAAACAGCAATTGATGATGATAACTTAGCAGGGATTTTAGATGCAGAGGCCGGGAATTGGCCAGTTGAAGAAACAAAGGAATTAGCTATATTGGGACTGAGTTGTGCAGAGCTTCGGCGCAAAGACAGGCCTGGTTTAAAAGATCAAGTACTTCCTGTACTAGAGAAAATGAAGGAGGTTGCAAAGAGGGCTCTTATTTCGATTTCCACTGTGCGGTCTGGACCACCTAACCACTTCATTTGCCCAATATTGAAGGTATACCTGTATAATCATTCTCTACCACTCTAGAAGGAATCAGAGGATAATAATTTGGCAAATGACAACATAGATGGAGGAAACAATTCATAGTTTCTTTCTTCTTAGTTGTCCATAACAAGGATTTATATTGTAAAATTGCTAATCTAGCAGGATATCAGCTTGAGCAAATGCACTAATCTAACAGGATATCTTGGTGTATTTTACAGGATGTAATGAATGAACCATGTGTTGCTGCAGATGGCTACACTTATGACCGCAAAGCAATTGAGAAATGGCTTGAAAGGAGTGATACATCACCGATGACAAATCTGCCTTTGTCAAATAAGAATCTGCTACCAAATTATACTCTTCTTTCTGCAATTGTGGAATGGAAGTCCCGAAAACACTGATATTTTAACTCTTCATTCTCCATTCATCCCTTTCTAGAACTTGAATTGTATAGTTAAGTTTTTGGTAGTATTGATTGTACAATCTACTATGTTTACCAAGTCTTTCAACTTTTTTGTGTGCTTTAGATGTAAGTAGATATGCATTTGTATATATGCAAGCTAGAATAGTTTCATCTTTCTCATCTTGTTTGGCTTCGATGGTTCTTCCAAGAATGGTTTTAGCTACATCCTATATGGAATCGGCTGATACGAACAATTAGCTTGTCTCTTTGGCTCTCTTTGGATTGAACTGAATAAAGAATCTATAGTTTCCAAGAATATGCACGAAGGATTTTTTTTTTGCACCAGTATGCTGTATTCGTGAGTTTTTGACTTCGTTGACCCAAAGGAAATATGTACATTGTCGAAGAGATACTGTTTGTTTTGATTAAGAAGCCTCATAATTTTGTTTCATAAAAAACATTTTTTTACACGTATTGAATTTAAATTTTTATTTATATATTATAAAAATTTTTTAGAATATTATGATATGAAATTAAAATGTCATATTTTTGCTTCCGAAAATCGCAATTCTCCACAAACGTCAGTGGAGCACCAGTTTAGGACCAGCTTTGGGGACAACAAAAGTATCATTTTCCTCGCAAATAGAAGTCAGAAACATTGAGGTTTCTTTTTTTTTTTTTTAATCAGCATCAGTGACAGTGCCAAATGATTTTTCAACATTCCTATCCAAATCTATTACAAAAGAATCAATGCATGTGACCCACGTCAAATTTGTTTGATATGTTTCGATCTAATTTCATGTTACTTCCAATAATGTTGTCTTTACCAAAGTTTTGAGGGAACAACAACATGGATTGATGATTCTTACAAGATATGTACTGAGAATGTTTGTTTGTTAAATTCCAAGATTTATTCAGTACAATTGATGTTTTAGATTTAAAGTTTTGTCTTTCTAGATCTCAATGACTTCTAAGTAACTAGTTACCATAGTATTTAAGAAAAAAATTATAATTAACATAGTGTCTTCTTTTAAATATATTGAAAATAAATATTATTTTTTAAATAATATTTAAAAATCCTTCCAAATAATCATTGAATAATTATTACTTATTTTTAGTAGTTTTTATTACTATAGCAAGATGTTGGTAATAAGCTGCAATGGAATATTTAATTATTATAAACTAAATATGGTAGAAAGATGATTTTTTTTGGACCTACTTTTTATACAAAGCATGAAGCAAAAGTATGCTTATGGTTGTCTTAGTGAAGCAAAATTTATAAGTTGGCCTTATTTAATCAAAATTTAATGACATTAAAAAAAATGAAAAGAAAGAGGTAAAAAAATATTTATTCATAAATTTTAAAAAATATATTTAAGTAATTTTTTACATTTTAATAAAGTAATAAAAAAATTATTCTTGTACTCATAATGCAAAAGCTATATGTTGGTCAAATTATGCATTAACTTTTTTCCACGTCACCTGTCTATCCATTTCAATTTGAAAAAGCCGGAGCGACTAAAACCAACGCGCTTAATGTTTTAAATGCCCCGTTTGGCCTGCCCTTCATCGTCGGTTACCAATGAAAGCAAATTTCGTTTTCTTTTCCTTTCCGGTTCAAATTTCCAATTTCCATTTAATCCCCAATGGTCCAAATTTCCATTTTCATTATTTTTTAACAGTAAAAAATATTTTTTTATTTATATATAGTTAAAATTTATTATTTAAATATTTAAATATTATAAAATATTAAAATATATATTTATATTATATTTTATATAAAAATTATATTTTATAATTTATATCAATATTAAAATATTAAATATATATTTTTATTTTTATTAAATTATATAATTATTATTAAAATTTAAAGTAATATCATTTATATATATATATATATTTTATCATGTTATATTGTATGTTTTAAAATTTTGACTTATGTGTCGTAAAAACTTAAATTTGATTTCTTAATTTCAAAAATTTCCCATTGGTAGGGCCCTCCTCTTAGTTTCCTTCGCTCTCAGGTTTCGCTTTATATTTTTCTTTTCGTTCTTTTCCCAGCTCCAACCAACTTTCACACCTCAAGATTTTTTTTTTCTCGCGCTTTCTCTCGCTAATTTTTTTCTCGAGAATCTTCGATCATCTGCAAAACATTTTTTTGTCATTTTCTTTCTATTCAAATTCAAATTCAAATGCATGTTTGTTGCTGTTAGTATTACTAATTATTAGGCGACGTTGAACGGCACAGAGAATACATAAAATTTAAAGTAATTAACTAATTAACGATGCAAAACGACGTCGCGACGAACGGAGTTTGCTCGACGGAGTCGGTGAATGGGAGTTGCGATGTTTGGAGTTGTAAAGATTCTGATTCATTATCAGCTGATCATCTTGTTATCATGGTCCACGGAATTCTCGGCAGGTCCTTTTTTTTTTTTGCTTTGGAATCTTTTTATTGAAGAAATTTTTAGATATTCAATTTAGTTATGTTGGTTCTCTGAATTGGATTTTGGATTCTTGGTTTAGTTTAATGGTAGTGATTTCATTACTTACTTATGCTTGGTTTAATTGTAATCGGTTTAATTTGAAGTGACTGAATTAAAGTTTCGTGATTTTGGGATTAATTTCACAAATGCTTTATTTGAACAGAAGATTTTTCGGGTTTTGACTTTTTTTCATATAGAACCAATATCTTTGTTTCCAATGCTGTGATGTTAACTGGGGCTAAATTCTATTTGGGATTTTTATCGGATTTAATATCATTAAAAATTCTCTGAAAATGGTTTTGGCCCTCATTGCTTGTGCAGTTCTTCAGATTGGAAGTTTGGAGCTGAGCAATTTGTTAAAAGGCTCCCCGATAAAGTATTTGTCCATTGTAAGTAGCATTTCTTTAGGCACCATTTTTTTTAGAGAAAAAGGCTTTCCCATTTTGCTGGCTTGCGCTTGGTGCTGCTTTTGTATGTTTGTTACTTGCTCATATCTTCTTTAGCTTGTAGATGATGATGAATCATCAATGCATTCATAGTGGTAACCATTAATTTGATTTTCTGCATTGCTCAAAAACTAGTATTTTTGACGAGTTTTTTTTATTTTTTAGTAAGCTATTTAGTATTTAATTTTTCGAGATCAACAATGTTGAAAGTTGATGGTTAAGTTTCTGGCTGGAGTATTTCTGCTTGATTTTACTTGGTTGATTAATGTGTTCTGCAGGCAGTGAACGGAATATGTCTAAGCTGACTTTGGATGGTGTGGATGTAATGGGTGAACGATTGGAAAAGGAGGTTAGTGCATGTTTGATTATGGCCTTATATTTAAGTCAAAAAAGTAATGAAATTTATTACTTTTAATATTAGAGTATCAATATCAACAAAAATATTTGAATGCTAGGTCCTTGACATTATTCAAGAAAAGCCAAATTTACGCAAGATCTCCTTCGTTGCACATTCTGTGGGAGGACTGGTGGCTAGATATGCAATTGGGAGACTCTATAGGCCACCTAAGAGAGAAGTTAAAGAGGATACATCAGGTAATGAATGCAAGGAGGAACCAAGGGGTACAATTGGTGGCCTGGAGGCTGTGAACTTCATCACTGTTGCATCTCCACATCTTGGTTCAAGGGGTAATAAACAGGTAGGTTTTTTGTATTAACAAATGTTAATCGCATTATTCTCTCTCTCTTTCTCTCTCTCTGTCTCGCACACACACACATACACACACACACACACACACACATATATATATATATATATATATATATATGGTGATACAAAATGTATTCTCTAACTTGGTTGCTTCTGAAGGTGGTTGTTTTAGTAGATGAGTTTCTGTTTGCAGTAGTTTGTTGATTATGACATATGTTCCATTGATTGTAATACAACATATTTTTGTAATGACTTACCTTGTTTTTTATGCGATGTACTATATCTCATCAGTGTTGGCATGTCAAGGATATTAGCCATAGTTGAATTATCTTTACTTATTGTCATAGTAAAATATTTGTTTCCAGGTACCATTTCTTTTTGGGGTAACTGCTTTTGAGAAAGCTGCAAGTTGTGTTATTCATTGGATATTTAGAAGAACAGGTCGGCACCTTTTTCTTACTGATGATGATGAAGGAAAGCCTCCGCTGCTTAAGCGGATGTTGAAAGATTATGATGAGTTCTATTTCATGTATGCAATTTTAACTTTTGTGTAAATTGCTTTCTATGTTAAGTTACTTGGGATGTCTTATTTTGAGATCTGGTTTTTTAAAATGACTGACATTGTTGTAAATTCATGTATGCAGATCTTCATTGTGTTTATTCAAACGCCGGGTGTTGTATTCCAATGTGGGATATGACCGTATCCTTTTTCCCTGATCTGTTTAAATTTTTTTAATTTCAACTTTTATAGATTTGTGTTAAATTTGATTGTATCTGTTTTTTTTAATGAATATTGTAAAGATATTGTCGGCTGGAGAACATCATCAATAAGACGGGAAAGTGAACTGCCAAAGGTATTATCATCTTTGTGAACTTTTTATCATTTGATTTCATGTTTGCAATTCTTTTGATTAGAACTTGATGAGCAGAACATGTCTTGTTATTAGTGGGAGGAGTCTCTAAATGAAACCTATCCACATATTGTGTATGAAGAACACTGCAAGGCCTGTGATGCTGATCAGTATGAAACTATTTCAACAGAAGATGATGGCTCATCCGACACGCTAGAAGGTATACAAGCTTAATTTCTGATAAAAGAAATTGCACTTTGGCTAAGTTTAGTTTATTTTTGTTGGTTGCGTTCTGCATTCCAATTACACTAGTTTGCTTGCCCAAGATACTTTTTACATCTTTTATTCTGTATTGTTTTGTATATCGCTTTCTTCTGTCTGACTATTTTCAAATTCCTTGCTCTATTCTTATGAATTTAATTGCCATGGCATCTAAATGATTTTTATTCTGTTGTTAATGAATTTCACACGAGTAATTGTTCTTATCTCCCTGTTTTTCTCCCTGTTACCTTATATTACTTTCTTTTAGTGGTTTCGAAATTTTACAACTGCTTAATTGGATGATGTTATGCAGAGGAACTGGTGAAAGGCCTATCCCGAGTTTCATGGGAAAAAATAGATGTTAGTTTTCACAGCAGTAGACTGAGATTTGCTGCACATAGTATCATACAGGTCTCTCTCTCTCTATATATATATTTATCTATCTGCCTATCTGAAAAAGTTTATATATATTGTGCATGAGATCATTTATGTAGTAGAAAACAATATTTTTATTTGTTTTGAAGAAGCAAGCTCTCACTATGCACATTTTGTAGGTTAAAGATGAAGCTATGCATACAGAAGGTGCAGATGTGATCCAACATATGATTGACCATTTTCTTACTTGAAAACTATTGGTCTTAGAAATACACATCATATACGCTGGGATATTCTTAGGTAAGGAAAATATTAATTTTCTACTGAGATCCCATCCGTTGCAGTTGAATGGATAAATACTCCGGTTGCTTATGGGCAAAGGATGGGCATGAGAACTGTGATCAATCCAGCAGTCATGAAGAAAATTTGTTCATTCATTAATCATTTCAATATTTTATGTTGAATACGTGTGCAAGTTCAGCAATATATCCCAACATTATATATTTGCATTATTTTTTTTTATGTGATGTAAAGAAATTATTCAATAATTTAAAATTTACATAGAACTTGTAAGGCTATGGTTAATTATGATAAGCCTTGATAATTTGTATTTTGGTCGTTCAAAAGGGAAGCTTTGTAAAATTTGAGGAAGTTTTACTGAAGAGAAAAACATACTACTAGTAATTTATTTTTTTAACTTTTCTCCTGTAAAATAAAAGGATATGAAAATAAAAGAAAAAAGAAATATAAAAAAATCATATGGCATTTAAAATAATTTCATAAATATGAAAGGAAAAGGAAAATAAGACAAGTTCAAAGTCCACTAATATTTTTCTAAAAAAAAAAAAAAAAAAAGAGACCAAAACGTAAAAAAGGGCCGTTCATTTCCCCTCCAAAACTTTGCAATAAGAGCTCAGGTTTGGGATCAGACGGTGGATAACAGCTTTGTCCTCCCTGATTTGCCGGTAATTATTCCATTTTTTTTTTTAACTTCCGTGACTTTTAATTAATTAATTTTATATAATGTTTCGCAGTTTGGAATTGTTTCAGTTGGAACAGTTTAGAGAAAAAATGATTAGGATGTAGTTTTGTAGAGTAAGAAGTGCATTACAAGAGACATTGTGACCTAAAATTTTACAAGAGATAAGAAGTTCGTGGACAATTTTTAATTGTCTTCTATATCGTATCTTTTTGTTCTTTTTAGAAGTATTCATAAATTCGGTTTTAATTAAATTAATAAATTAAATCGATTTAATTTGATTAATCAATCGATTAATAAAAATAATTTTAAAAAATTTTGATTTTTAATTAATTCGATTCAAAAATTATATTAACTGAAGTTTTAATTGAAATATAATATAATTCAAATATAAAATAAAAAATATATGAAATAGATTATTTAATTTCATAAGTTGTTATAATTTTAAATATAATAATTTGGTATTTCAATATTTTGTTAGATAATTTTATTTAGTTTGTTTAAAATATAAAAAATTAAAGGTTTAAAATATAATTTAACTTAAATATATTTATTATTTGATTAATTAAAAAATTAATCGAACCGATTGAATTAATTAAATTCAATCAATTAATTTTTAAAATTTATAAATTTAATTTAGTTGATGAAAATAAAATAAAATAATTTAATTTTGAATAATTCGATTTGAAATTCGAATTTAGTTTTTTTGTTGGCAGTGTACAGGTTTCACAGTTGGCCCTGTGAACAGCAGACACACCTATATTCCAATTTCTGTAAGCTTCAGAGCTGTTAATGCTTTTAGCTTTATTTGAAACCTAATGATTTGTACTTGATTGCTAATTGCATTCATCTTTTGAAGTTAAAAAGTTTTCCATGAACTATAATTTACATGAAGTTCGACTAGTTCTTTCCTTACCTTACAAGACCTAAAAATATAGAGATAAATGCAATTGTGGGTGCGGCCTGGGAGCAAGTTAACCATGGTTTCTACTATATTTGAGTTGATGTCTAACTTTGTTTGGCCTGGTCTTCCCGTTTCAGCATGTTACTGAGTCTCAAAACACAGTGAAGTTAACAGATAGGATGTGGGCTAGACTTCTTACTTCCAAGAATCAACCTAGACTTCTTACTTCCAAGAATCAACCTAGACTTCTTACTTCCAAGAATCAACCTGGTTTCCTGAACAGCAATGAATCAACCAGGGGAAAAGTGTTTAAAGAAACTACTTACATGATCAAAAACAAGAGGATTACTTCTATTCAGATTTGATGGATATATGCTAAGATGCAAACAAGTCATTGTGGCTTCATCATTTGCTTCTAATAATTTCACCAAAATCTCTTTAACCTCGATACTAAAGTCAGCATGGCAAATTAATTTTAGAAAGCCTCTAATCTGATAGATTTACCATCTGTCGTTTAGCTCATATCTTGGTCGCTACATATTTGTTCACAATTTGGATTGTGTCTCAAGAATTTGCTATCATCATGACAAATTGCCAATATATTTGAAAATTATACCAACAAAAATTTTTAATTTCAAAGTGTATCGGAGTATATATTTCAAACCCTTGATTCATTTCTTGGATCCTTACCTTTCTTTCACTGCTCCCCCCTTTTTTTTCTTTGAAAGGAAGTCAAGATCCTTACTGAAGTGTATATCATATGGATAAATGTAAGTTGGAAGAGCAAATTAAAAATGATCCTTACACTGATATGCCTGCCTAAAGAACAAGGTATATTCTCCTCAACATGGTATGTTCTCCAAAATATCGTGGTTGTGCCTTGCAATGCTATGTGGTTGTTGCTTGGATGCTTTCCCTGCTCGAATCAATCCATAAAAGGTTTGGTTCCTTGATATGTTTTTAGTGTGTACTTGCTGGATGTTTGAGAGATGAAAACCATTGTAAAGTTGAATTATGGGGATAGCCCAGTCCAATAGACTAAACATAGCAAGTTGGCAACCTTTGAATTTGCAAAAATGAGACCAATCATGTACAAATTTATGAGATCATCTGAATAAAGGCTGGATGACAATGATGATAGTGACATCTCTTGCCTCTTTGCTATAAAGTTTTCTTGCAAGTTGCTTTGTGTATTTGTCTATGTATCTCTATCATTTACAACTGGTTAAAGCACCATCGTCTATATATCTTCATGGAAGGAAACGTAGGATACAAGGGGACAAAACTCTGGCAACTGTATTCATTGAGGGTCCCTTTGGTGCAACTTGTTGGCTGAGGTGTATCCGTTCTGATTGAGAATTGGTTGATGAGAGACTTTCCTGTAGGTGCGGCCGTTAACGCCCCAACATAAAGAAGATGTCGACATCGAGGTGGCTTTTAATTTCTGCTAAATAGCTTGGTTGTCTACACTCCACACCATGATTTGTCAAAGGAGCGCAGTTTTGGGGTCTGAGGAAATCTTTTGGATTCAGTCATTGAAAAGATGAATAAGGTAATGATTTTTTATTTTCTGCCATCAATCCATCATTGTGCATTTTAGTCAAATTTTTTGATAGAAAACTCAAGTGAAAACTGTCATAAATTGAACTCTCGGTAAATTTAATCTTTAACTTTGGTAAATTTTAGTTTAATTATAAATTATTTTAAAGATATGATATTTAATAAATTTTTAATTTAAATTTTAATAATGTAGTTTTTTCAAGTTTTAAGTTACTGTTTGTTTGTAAAAATAAATTAATACCATCAATCATTAGAGAAAGCTTGAACTGATATCAATCATTGGAACTTTGCTCGTACATGAATATTAAATCTTCAAAAATCATCAAGTAATTTTTTTTTGGTCTTTAAATATGAAAAACCCATTTGTTGAAAAATGTTCATGCAGATACTTGATTGGGAAGAAAATTGAAACTTTGGTTTAAGTCAAAAGTTATTTATGAGTTTGCTGAGATTTTGATTTAATGATAAAGAAAAAATTTTAAATTTAAATTTATTGTATATGAAGTTAATTATTTAATTAAATTATAATTTATTAATTTTAATTATTTAATATTATAATTTGACTAATTATTCAATTGATTAATATTTGATTATTAATATAATTTTTTTAAAAAATCTTTATATAAGCAAAATAAATAGCCTATAAAATATCCAGACTTCAATCATTCTTTTCTACCGTTGAATGGAAATTTAGAAATGAATTTGCATAGAAATTGCTGCATATCCTGACATCATTTTGTAGCACTAGCATCCATTGACGGCACTTTCAGGCATTGACAATATTCCTACAAAAGAAAATAAATTTCTTCAACCCCACCTTCCCCTAAAAACAATGAAAGAAAAAACAAAACAAAAAAAAACGTACGGCAAGACAAGTTGAGACTCCGAGAACAACATTGTGCCACATTCCTCTCCACAAAATTTCAACTGCAATTTTATATACAATTTATGTACAACAGGGTCTTTGGTCTTAATTGCAGCATTATTCCATCCTGAAAACATAAAAAGAAACCTATACAACTCTAATTTAAGATATGTCACTCGAATTTACAATCTTGATGATTATAAATCAAACTCTAAATAACTTGCAAGGAACAAAAACTTAGATACTAACTAGTACTTATTTTCATAGTGCATTTATAGTTGATGTGATTTGGACATTAATCATAGGCCTTACTTTACAACTTATCCTTATTCACGTTATCTAACATGTCACTATAACATGTTTTCTAGTTAATGGTGACAGTTGATTCAGATCATCAAGCTCACCGTCTTCTTCCTTTACCTCCCAAGCCAGCTAAGGACTTTCCGGTAACTGAATTCTCTTATCTTCTCCTTTTCCTGCTCGTAGTGACTGGTGGGCTAGCCTTTCCAGCTTCTAGTGGAAAATTTAATATTGCTTTGTGACCCCTCATTCTAAATGCTGCACAATCATAAGCCTTGGCAGCGTCAACATCACTGTCAAAAGTACCTAACCAGATCCGGCTCCCCTTCCTGCTTGGATCTCGGATCTCTGCAGCAAACTTGCCCCATGGCCTTCTCCGGACCCCTCTGTAATGCCTTCTCTCTTCACAAAGTGACACCTTTGGCTCCATTTTTGACCCTGAAATAATGATGGAACTTGGAGATTCCAAGTCAAGAACTTCAGGTTTTACCTCATAGCTAAAGATTTCAGGGATTTGGTAATTTGGGTCGGACATGGGAGAGTCATGTTCTAGTTGGGGAATTTGGTTTTCGGGTTTGATGATGGGTTGTAGCTGAGACAGACCAAAATCAAGGCCAGTTATGAAAGCATCTGTGGAGGCAAAGTCTCCGAGAAGGTGCTCTCGAATGAACTCAAGTTTTGTTGATTCTTCCAGCGTGGCCATTTTTGTTAGAGTCCTCAGGAATTTATGAAAGAATATGAAGTTAGAAGTGGGAGTATTTGAGGATATTTATACAGGCAAGAAAATATTCAAGTTCCCCCCTCCCCCCTTCCTCTTGCGATGGCCCTGGAAATTGACATGCACCCTTCACTTTCTATTGTGGGACTGACCTGAAATTTGTTGTTGTTTTGATTTGTCCACTGTGCTTGGAGAGAGGATCTTTGATATTTCTGCACACGGTTTTCATCCCAAAGTTATGCGCTGGAAATTGGATGATCATATCCTTGATCATTAATAAGGCAAAAATGGGGACCTTTAAGGGGAGTTTCAAGTTGGTACTACGCAAAGTGAAAAAGATTGTCCATGTTTTATCTTGTGTCCTGGTTGGGACCTTCCAACTTGTTCAAGACATCTATAGCTAGCAAGCTGGAGTGTAAAGGAGGCGCGTATGGGTGTTGACATGCAAGAAATTTTGGAGGTAAAACTCTTTGCAACTTGATTACTTGAGGGCTCCGCAGGCAACGAGCTCTTTCAAGGTTTTTGTCATTTTATTTGGCGGCTTCATCATGAATTTAAGTGTAAAATGACCAGTTGCAAAGCAATGTGATAAAATGATTTTTTTTAATTTTTAATTTACATAAAAAATCTAAATATCATATACTTTTTCAATCTCAAGTTGTTCAGATGGCATTAACTTTCATGGAATTTAAAAAAAAAAAAGACTTTAATATATTTAATATTAAAATTAAATTTTTTTATAAAATTAAAGTTTCAAAACTTTTAATGTCAAAAAGTTTTAAAAAGCATTAAAATGTAATTTTAAAATATAAAAAAAATTTAGATATTAAAAAAAAATAATTTTAAGATATTTCAAAACAAATAAACAAAAAAAAATGGAACAGATAAAATAATATTTTTTTAACTCAAAGAGTCTTCAATGATAGCAAAAGACAAATTCATTAAATAAATAAAAGAACAAATACAATTTTAATTTTAATTCAACAACAAATTTAGGCTTAGGCAGTCCTTTTGAATGCTTGACTCTACTTTATGTACACTAACAGTTGAACACGCTTCTTTATTATATTACTTTTTTTCTTTTCCATGGTTTTCTATTTGATAACAGTTAACTTTCCCTTTTCGTTCTCGATCTTGGATAATTCAACAAGCCACCTCAGCAAACTTTTCCTGATTTAGTAAACGGCAGCCGTAAAACCCGTCAAAAGCCTTACATAACCGCAAGCCTAGAATACCCAAATGAAGGATGGGGAGATAACGGAGATAACGGAGGGATACTGAATATTCCCTTCATGTCTTCGCTGTCCCAAAACCCCGTCCAATTTGACGGCGTTAAACAAACGCCCGGCGTTACACTTTCCGTCACCGTCAACATCTCTTTGGCCTCCGCTGTCACCACTACCTTTTCCTCCGTTACCTTCTCTCTTTTCACTACTTTACTCTCCAGGCTCTCTTCTTCTTCTTTTTCCTCTTCCTCTCTTCTCCTTTTCCTTGAAAATGAATCCTCAGTTAATTCAGACTCTGCGGAATTTGATTTGCCAGCTTCAAGAGGGAAATTCAATATGGCTTTGCTTCCACGTAGCTTAAAGGCAGCTCTATCATAAGCTTTTGCAGCTTCTATGGCGGTGTCAAAGGTTCCAAGCCAAATCCTTGCGCCTTTCCTGTTAGGGTCTCTGATTTCAGCTGCGAACTTCCCCCATGGTCGTCTCCTGACACCCCTGTAGTGTCTTTTCTCGTTAGAATCTGGTGGTTCAACTGTAGCTGGCTTTGAGCTTATGTTAACTTTTGCTGGTGGGATTGTCACGTTTATAGAAGGACGGCGTTGGCTTAGAGTAGATTGTTTTAGCTGGTGTGGGCTACCGACTTGAGTTGGGTTGAGCTGAGGTAACTTGGCTACTTGGGAGGTTTGAGCGGTGGCGACCCTGGAAGTACAGTGATCGAGATCGGAAAGAAAGGTTTCCATGGAAGCAAAGTCAGTCAGGGGGTAATTCCTGATGAGCTCCAAGGCTGATGTTTCTTCAGGATATCCCATTTGGGAGAGGTGGTTAATGATTTCCAGAGAGAAATTGAAGTGAAAATTGGAAGCTTGGAGCCTTGAGGAAACTTATTTGAGTGGAAAGGAGAGAGTGTGGTGGTTATTATATAAAGGGGAAGAAAAAATAGTTCGTAAAAAGAAGAGGGGTGAGATTTCACAGGACCTTCCAGGATAGACACCGGAAGTGTCCTGGGTCCAAAATGGAGCTTTAGAGAATTCAGAATTGTATTCTATGTGGAATTTAATATTCATGGAGGGTCCACATGATATTCACGGACTCCTTTTCCAGGGTGCTTCTGCGGGAACCCCGTAATTATAGAAGCAATAAAGATTTCATACGTTAGATTCTGGGCTATGATTGCAATATTTAACAAATCATTAAGAATCCACACCATAATCCATAGTAATCATGTCTTGCTGGGGATGTTTTAGCTTGAGAGCTTAGCTTGACTAGAAACGTGCAACTGCAAAAGACTGTGGTTAGTGTTTTGTGTGACGGGTAGAGACTCAAATTTTAAGCTCTCATGATTTTAAGATTTAAGAATAGACTCTTTCACATCTGATACAAAAAAGTAAGTACGAACACTCAAGATTACGGAATTTGATCATTCAAAACACTACAGAATTAAAGGGCATAACAAGTGTTTAAAGAAAAGCTTATCGCGAGTCTAGAGTCAAATTCCAAGATACGAGAATAGACTTTTTTATGTTCTAGATTAGCCTAATACAAAAAACAGTACACGTACACGGACATCAACGTTCTGGATGACTAAGCTCCACAATCTTAAATGTTCATGCACTATTTTTTTTGTTAAGTTAATATGGGACGTGAAAAAATCTGTTCTGGTATTCTAAAACCGTGCGAGTCTAAAGCATGAATCTCCACCTGTGACATTTGCACGTAGCGGGGACTTTCAGGATTTACATTTTGAAACTGTTGGACAGCGTATTTTACTGAGAAAATGCCCTGGACAACTTTTTGACTGTGATCACCATTCAACAAATTAAAGATAAGATATCACAGTTTTGAATGTCTGTAGAGTTTTAATTACCACATTTTTCAAATGTAATTAATTAATAAACCAGTCAACTAGCAACTCATAGAGGATTGAAAGAGGGTTGATTTTAGCCTTGCTAATTTGTTTGCTTAGCTGATATAATTGTTCATGGCCTTTCCTTGTTAATTAAAAACCATAGCAATGCTAATTAAGCTAAACAAAATTTAATTTTGACTTTGTCGACACTAATTTTAGACTTCGACCTAGGTTGTTAATTGTTCTACAAGATTAGTAGATTACAAAATAGATGCCGACCACTGGTTTCGACTTACCCAACCTCATCAAGTTACTGTCTGTCCTAAAACCCAAACCAAGTTTCACTGAATTCAACGTGGAGTAGTGAAGGTCCTTGACTTGTTTCACTAAAACTTTTAATCTTGTATTTGACTCTGAAGACTGAATTCAAAATCCATGTGGTTTGAATTGTTGACTATGGAATTGGAACCTTTGAGAGAAAAGCAAAACTTTTTCAATCTTCAAACAATTTTAATCTACAAGGGAAAGGAGCCTGTAGCTCTGCGTAGCCAAAGGTCACTTTTATCGGCTTAATTGTCTTAAAAATCCTGATAAGATGATGTATAATTTCCATTTTTTTAATTTGTACACTTCTCAATCTTTTCTACAGAGTTGAAGATATTTGGAAAATAGAGAGAAATCTCAATCCCATGTTGAAATGAAATATTCTATAAAAGGGTTTTTGCCATATATACGAGTCCCTTCAAGTTGCACAAAATGATTGAAAAAGTTGAGTTTGAGAGAAATTTTGGAGGGAATCGAAACTATAATACATAAATTATGTTGGATGTCAATAAACTAGCACTTGCATTAATAGTAACTAGATTGTTGCCTGTGCTATGCACTTATAATTATACATAAAAATATAAAATTTATATATGCATATATCCAAATAATATCTAAGAAAATAATATTGTTTAAACTTAATTAAACACTTAATAAAATTTATTATGCATATATCTAAATGATATCTAAGAGTAACTCATTATCATATGGATACTTGTAATTGAAAAGTTATATGAAAAAAATCAAATTAAACATTTTTCCATGTGTGATCGAATTTGCATTAATTAATTTAAAATTTCGAAGTAATTTTTCCTACTTTTTAAATCAATTAGAAAAAATGCATGATTTCTTTTAATAATTATTTATCTTTTTATTAATTTGAATATACACATATTAGTCATAAAATTATATTGTTAAAAAATTATATTGCTATTGAAACTCAAAATTTTAATAATTTAGGACATTGTAAGATACGTTTTTGAAAAAAAATTATATATTGAAGTATAAATTGAACTAGAGATTTATTATATATGTTCGAGAAACAAAGAACCAAAGGTTTACTATATATGTGTAAAAAAAAAAAATCAAAGATTTATTATATATGTATAAACTTTAAGTTGAAAACCCAATATAAGTTCAAATAATATCAAATTGGTTAAATTTGTTGAATCACATATAACAAATGAAAAATAAAATTGTAAATAAAAATAAGTGAATAAAAGTCTTTTTCCTTACTTATTACAAACTAAATACTTAATAAACAAATATAAAAAAGAGAAAACTAGACTTTTAATAATTTTTTTGACAAATTGAATAATGAATTTATCAAAGAGATAGAAACACATAAGTGCTAAATATTAATAATAAATCAAAAAATCATTTAAAAAGGTCTATAAAAAAAAATTTTGATAAAAAAAAATTATCATCATTTACATTTTTTTTAACATTATAACTTTTTGTTTTAATATGAAAACCTTGCAACTATAAAAATGAAAAGAAAAGATTAAATGTCAATTAATTTTCGTAGTAAAATATCTAAGAACACTAAACCAAAACTGAAATAAAAAAATCAAATAATCATAATGAAGATTAATCTAATAATTTTAACTTGAATAATCAAGGAAAATATATTTACAAAAATATAATACTAAAAAAAGAAATAACAAAACATGTCACAAAAAATAATAATACTCATAGAGTTGTAATCTTACAACACCATCTTAAAGTTTATTATAAAATGTAAAAAATTAGTGTAAGATATCAAAAAATAATACTATTATTTAAACAATGTATCAAATAGAAGAATACAAATGAAAATTTTTTGACAATAATTGTTGTATGTGTCAACTTCATCATATCACTATTATATATATATATATATATATATATATAAACAACATACATGCATACTCATAAATGTGAATCTCAATAATTAAGCTATCAATTAATTACATGTTATTATGAAAAAATTTGTCTCCTTAAATACATAATATTATAGAGTTTAAATTTTAAATATATAATTTGACCTATCAGTTCTTTCTATTTTTATAATCAAACATCCAAAATTAAGGTAACGTAAATATAGAAAATTTTAGAGAATTCAAAACAAAATTAAAGCTATCGAATGCATGGTCAATAAGACTTTTATTGTAAAAAAAAAAAAAGAAAGAAATATTCATATTTAAAGTAAAAAAAATTAAATTAAAACCATTGAATAAGTAACAATATTTTTTGGACGATAATTGAAAAAAAATTAAAGAATAAGTTAGTTTGTAATTTTAATCTTGAAATTTAAATTGTTGATTATAATCAAAACACATGACATCATCGATACTATTCATGTATAAAATTACCTTACATACATAGACTTATTTCGTTTTTTTAAAATTAATATATTAAAGTTATCTTTTGTGTGTATGTGTATATATATACATATATGTTAACTTTATAGGTGAGATGGTGATCCAAGAAGAGGGTAAATTGGATTTTTTTAAAATTCTTTTCAAACAAATAATTTTAATATAATTGGATGAAAATTAAAACCAATATCAAAATATGATGCAAACAATAATGAATTCATGAACTATAAGCAAATTTGAACTATAATCAAACTAAAGAGATAGGGATAGAGAAATCAAACGTAAGAATTCATAAAGGTTCGATTCTTCTCCATAAGGCACCTACATCCTCTCTCTTAGTTGTCTATACTAAGGATTCAATCCACTATACTTGAATTGAAATTACAATCCTATCTTTTTCTCACAAAGGCTTAAGATAAAAATCTTATGCTCTTTACTTTTTAAGCTAAGTAGTAACCTTTAAATTTCACAAATTCAAGAGGGTACCTCACCTCTTTATTACAAAATCACTTAATAACAATGCAAACTTAAAATAGCTTTCAAAAGCTAAGTGTTTGCCTAATAAAGTACAAGGAAATATGATGAATGAAGAACAACAATATTTTGGATACAAGAAATACATAGGATATTGAACTTAAGCTCTAAAAACTCTTGATTTTAAGAGAAAATGAAAATAGAACTTGTTAGCACTTGTTCTCTTGCTTTATCAACCTTCTTGGTGTGTTAGAATGACCAATATATAGAGAAAATGAAAGGCTAGCCGTTGGAGATGCTTGAGAGAAGAAAATAGCCGTTGAATGCTTGAGAAACTAGTCATTGGACACATTCTAGGCATGACTCGAACGATCTCTTGCATGAAGGGATCGATTGGTTCAAGTTTTGTGTCATTTTTCACTTGAAAAACATGACCCAATTGATTAGGTAAGGTACCCGATCGATTGGTTCAGCTAGAGGATTGATCCTGTAACCTAAGGGATCAATCCAATAATGTTATTTTGTTGTATCCTATTTTGCACTTTACTCACTAATTTGATCATAACTTAAGTTATACAAATCCAAATCACAAACCGTTTGAAGATTTAAAAACAAAACTTAAAGGGATTTCTATCCATATAGAGTTCATCACCTAATTTATTGTGTACGAATTATAGTAAATTTTTAAATCTACCCATTGAGTAGTTTTTAGACAACTGCCAAGTGTCTAGTAAAAATTCAAAATCTTTTCTTAGAAAATTTGGATTTTGATTTTGTTTGATCCATTAGAAAGTAGACTCAAAGAGTTTCCAACCATATAAAATTCAAATATTAAAACTTTGTGAATTAATATAGAAAAATAAAACAAGTTCAATGTTGGAAAACTTTGTTCTTATCAAACAACTTTCTTAAGTTAATCTATTTCTC